GGCCAAAGCTGTCGACTCAAGTCTTACCTCCTCACACCACCATATAAAGTCCTCCTGCTACTCTAACAATATGGGCCAGACCGTCGTGCTGACTCGCAGGTCGGAAGGTTGCTTCCTAGGTCATCGCTGAGGTCAGGACAACACTACTTCAGCAAGGAAGCGAGTAACAGAGACTCATTTTTGCCAGCATGCTGGTGTGTGTGGACGGACCAGTGGGGGTCCAGGACAGTGTGGGGTATTGAGCGCGCGATCCATTTGGTTGAACATTTTGTTCAGATAATGCATGTGGCTATATCCTGTGACGTTGCGACTTTTCCGGCCGCCATCTTGTTCTATAATGTTCCATCGTGATAACCTTAATGAACCAGGCTGCCTCACTAATATGCGGATCTGCTGACTCTTAACTTTCAATATCTGGTCCGTCTTACTGATCTGTGTCTCCTGTTCCACCGCTGTTAATTCCGAACATCTCTTTGCATCCTGTAAATTCAATTAAATATCGTATCTCAATAATGTTTCACTCTCCACCTTCCGACTAATTTTAAATCCAGCTCCGTCAAGCTTTCTTCAGTCCCCCATCTCCTGTAATTGTGGGACTTGTGATTGATGGTGATCACCTTGCACTTACTGGTAGTCATTTCTCAGGGCCAGCTCTGGTGGTTGTCGGGGTCTTCTTGGAGTACTTACCAGTCTCTCATTATCATTCGTTTGACAGCATCCACGAACATTGGCATGTAAGACTTGTGAGAGTAATGAGGGGATACAGTATGGGTCCTCATACTGGTTCTTGGGGAAACTGTGAGTGACTGACTCCTCGCCCCTCACTGTCACTCAGGCGTAGTGTGTGTGTGTGAGAGAGAGAGAGTCACCACTCAATCTTCCTTATACTAGCTATTATGTCTTGCCATTTCCTGTCATTTATACGAGATCTCCTCCTCCTCCTCCTTCTTAGCTCCTTGTATTACTCTCTCTCCTGTGAGTACTCTCACTCCTCTGTGTACTCAGAAGTTCCTCCTGGAGACGTGTGAGGGGGGACATGTTCCCCACGTCCAACATCCCCACACCACCCTCGTGTCAGCTAGCTATAAGTCAGTGTTCCAGGCGCCACACTCTCACTACTGCTCTTGTGAGCTATTTTCCTTATGAGAAAGTGTCTCATGTTTTATGGTAAATAGTGTGGCTGAAAGAGTGTGTGTGTGTGTGTGTGTGTGTGTGTGTGTGTGTGTGTGTGTGTGTGTGTGTGTGTGTGTGTGTGTGTGTGTGTGTGTGTGTGTGTGTGTGTGAGAGTATGCAACAGGCGCGGTGCATGGAAATAGGTGTGGTGACGGTAATTGTACTAGATACGGACTACGTGAGGTTACACACACACACACACACACACACACACACACACACACACACACACACACACACACACAGTTTCTGACTCCATACACAGTTTCAAGTGTAGATATGATAGAGCCCGATAGACTCAGGAACCTGTACACCTGTTGATTGACGGTTGAGAGGCGGGACCAAAGAGCCAAAGCTCAACCCCCGCAAGCACAACTAGGTGAGTACGTGTACACACACACACACACACACACACACACACACACACACACACACACACACACACACACACACACACACACACACCAATAAACATAGTTCATTTATGAACATGATGGCTCCTGAATATTATGTCAGAGCAGCGAACCCAATAATCCTGGAATGGCAGAAGGGAAGGTCTGTGATTCACCGCCTCCAGACACGAATGGAAGTATCTCTGCCAAACGTCTTAATTGGGTAAGATGGCGGGAGAAATGAGTGTAGCAGGTGTGTGAGGCAAGAGGGCGGCCGCCAGGGTGTGGTGCGGGAGTGGTTGGGCAACACTAGACTACAAGCAAGGTCGGATGGGGGTGGGGGTGAAGGCCCTTAGGTCTCTTGTTCAGGGGGGTCATCTCCCCGGCCACCGCCGGCATTCTGTCCCCAGCCTTCACTGAAGAAGACTGAAGACTTCAGACTGAAGAAGTGGTCGAGTGCCGTCAACTACCACTGCTAACTACCCAACCATATGGCGCACGCTGTAACTGCCACCGCTAACTACTTTGAGGCTGATTACCCACGGTAGGGGGGGGGGGAGTGTACGATGTAGGACGAGTTCATTGTCCCACAAGACTGTTGTTGTTGGTGTTTGGTGTAGTGCGGGTCTTGACACTGGCTTTCTCTACCTTTCTCACTTCAACATTGGTGCCACTTGAAGCTCAGTGTATTGAGCAGTACACCGCCTTGTACTGGTACAGTATTCACCTAGTTGTGCTTGCGGGGGTTGAGCTCTGCTCTTTCGCCCCGCCTCTCAACTGTCAGTCGGTCAACATTTTACTAATTACTGTTTTTTTCCTCTTCACACAAATACCCAGGAAGCAGCCCGTAGCAGCTGTCTAACTCCCAGGTACCTATTTTACTGCTAGGTAACAGGGGCATGAGGGTGAAAGAAATTTTGTCCGTTGTTTCTCGCCGGCTGCCGGGATCGAACCCCGGTCCACGAGTCTAGAGTGCTGTCCACTCAGCCAGTCAGCCCCTGTTGAGGGGCTGTGTGCGTGCGTGTGTGTGTGTGTGTGTGTGTGAAAAACAAATAATGATGTGTGTGAAATACGTGTGGTGAGAGTGTTGTTGACGTCAAGCAGCTGATGTCCCACTCTCCAGGTGACATCCTTCGCCTGTTGTTGACACAGCAAGGGAGTGTGACGCCCCCCCCCCCCCACCCCCCACGTGTGTGCGCCTCGCCACGCTCTGTTTACCAACGTCAGCTGATTATTGCTTCTTGATTTTGGTTCTGTTTACATGTGTCAGCTGATCCCTTGCCACATGTTGCGCTTCTCTCTTGTTTACAATTGTCAGCTGATTGAAAACATTGAAAATATATTACGGGCTATTCATGCCCGTGCCACCTCTTGGGTGGCCTGGTCGACGACCGGGCCGCGGGGACGCTAAGCCCCGGAAGCACCTCAAGGTATGTGTGAAAATACGAGCGAAAAAGCACAATTCATATATTCATAATATTATTATCTTTATAATATTAAATATTTAATTCGTGTTAATTAATAATATCCCGTCACCATTAACCCGAATGTTTAAGCGCTGTGGTCACCCTAATCCCACACCCCTCCCCCCCCCCCACCTGCTTAACTATAGAGTTTATCATCACCTCAGGATAGGGGCGTGACGGCTGAGTGGACGGCGCACGGGGTTTGTAGTCATAAGGTTCAGGGTTCGATCCCCGGTGGAGGCGGAAACAAATGGGTACATGGGAGTTAGACAGCTGCTACGGGCTGCTTCGTGTGTGTGTGTGTGTGTGTGTGTAACAGGAGGCCTGGTGAGGACCGGGCCGCCGGGACGCTAAGCCCCGAAATCATCTCAAGATAAGGCACCCCATGACTGTAGGGGTCAGTACTGTTGCCTGTGTTGGTGTGATCTTGTGGGGGTAGTGACCACCCCATCACTGTGGGGGGGGGGGGTCAGTACAACTTGGACTGGAGAGTTAAGCCCCCAGCTACCACAGAAAGGAGGAAAAAAGGCGATATTAACCTTGCCAGGGCGAGGAAACCGTTGCCTGATGCACGCAAGGTTAGCATTATCTGGCCGCCAGGAATTTAAACGCGGGAGAAAGTACCAAGCAACTGCTAACGGCTGCGCGGGTGCCGCGTCGCCTCAACATTTGAATTTAAATTCAAAACATTTTTACACTTTAGTAACTACCAAACTATCCATTTTTCTTAAGTGAACTTCAATGCGCATTTAAATAATTTAAATCGTTTTTTAAATGGTTTTTAATTAACCAAATGTTAGCAAAGGATGAAATGTGGCACCAGCGTAAGCCCCCCAGATGGGTTATGGGTCATTACGTCATAAGGGGACGGAGCTCTGGACCAATCAGCGCTCAGCTCCCGCAAAGATGCTACAGTTAGCCAACCAGCACACACCCGATGGCACTCTTTACCGTATGCTAATTAACCTATAAAGGCAAACAACCGCTTTTAGATCCACCGGCAGCTATTAACTGCATCTTGGCCTATATATAATATATATATAATATATAATGTTGTTTGTGACTAGGAAGGAAAGTGAAACTTGAAAAAATATTTGAGCGCTTTCGTGTATAGTTAAAGAGTGAAGAGGTGTGTGTGTGTGTGTGTGTGTGTGTGTGTGTGTGTGTGTGTGTGTGTGTGTGTGTGTGTGTGTGTGTGTGTGTGTGTGTGTGTGAGAGTGTCCGCCTGTAAGGTGTACCAGCGGGAACTCGCACGTTACGAAAGGTGGAAAAGTAATGTGTCTGTAATTGTTATACCAGCAACTGAGGTCACGCGCACGCACACGCAAGTATGCGAGTGTGAGGAATAATGAATTATAATATGATTATTATAATGACAATAAGGTATAATGAGGGAGGCGACGTGAGGCGCTCTGCCACACACGAACCATCATACACCTCCTACTGTAGAGCGACGGGGTCTCTTCCTGCAGGTCGGCGTTCAATCCCCCGAGCGTCCAAGTGCTTGGACACCATTCCTTTCCCCCCGTCCCGCCCTTAAATCCTGAACCCGACTCTTTCCTAGTGTTATATAGTCGTAATAGCTTGGCACTTTCCCCCTGATAGTTCCCTTCCCTCCTACAATGTTGCTCACGCCATCTTGAAAAACAATGGAGGATGTATTCCAAATTTTGGTTTATTAATACACTAACACAGTGATTGTATTTTTTTCACCTTTATTATTATTATTTAGTACGTAGGGCAGAAGCCACTCATGTTAATGTGCTGTTTAGTGGGTAGTTGTTCCAGCCAACTATTATTGCATGTATTGTATAGTAGTAATGGTAGTGGAAGCTTGGGCAGAAACTACTTGTAGCCTACTGTTGTACTCTAGTGAAACTAGGAGCCACGTGTTGTATTCTAGTTTAGTAAGAACATCTAGGAACATCGACCTACACTCCGCTAATTTGTTCTCTTTTTCCCTACGCAGATCGCGGGCGGCATGGGCGTCAGTGTGGGCATGCGTGGGCGTGCTGACAGCTGGCGTGGGCGTGCTGACAGCTGGCATGGAGGTGGCTGACCCCTCCGTGCTGATGTTCCTGGAGGAGACCCAGCTGTCAGATGCCTCGCACAGGATAGCCAGGTCGATTCAACAGATACCTCTGGGCACCTCTGGCTTCTCTATCCCTGTTGAGATCGACCCTATCCCATCAGGTGAGAGAGAGAGGGAAGGAGGGAGGGAGAGAGGGGGGAGGGAGAGAGAGAGAGAGGGGGGGGGGAGGGAGGGGGAGGATGCATGAAAATTAGTTTATTATAAAATGAACAAATCCACAAGGGCCGTGGCGAGGATTCGAACCTGTCGTAGCTCAGTCGATTAGGGCAGTGTCTGGGATGCTCCCAGACGCAGGTTCGAATCCTCGTCACGGCCCTTGTGGATTTGTTCATTTGATGCATCACGTTAGTGTGATCTCTATGTGTGTGTGTGATGTAGTATATTATATTTTAGTTTTCTCCGTAGAAAACTTAAGCTGAAACTTAAGTTTTATTAAACATTATTATCTGTGGCCCATTGAAAGACCCGATTTCCATCAGATTGGAGGTTCGCCGTGTCCTCTATATTGTCTACTCGCATGGAAATCCTATAGTGGCATCTGCAGGTGATGATACAGTACTAGAGCTTTTATTATTCATCTATGTCTGATGTGTGGATGAGAAAAAGTACCGGAGTAAGCACGGTACTCTAGGTGGGGGGGGGGGGGGGGGGAATGCTTTTCACGGTGGATGGTCCGGATTTTTGTGTGTTGACTCTACACTCTGCGCTGTGTTAGTTAGAGAAAGTTGTGAGGTTAAGAAGTCTTCCGTGGCATCTAGGGCAATGTTATAGTGATGTAGCAGTTATGAGAGGCAGCGCCCTGTTTAAGGATTCCTCTTCTAAGTCTGTGGAAGAAAACCTAACAAAAATGATTAGGCTTCACTGGAAAAGCTTTAGAGGATCTTAACGCCAGTCATCTCCACACTGTACAGTGTGGAGATGACTGGTACAGTTGTTGGTACAGTTGTTGTTGTTAAAGATTCGCTACCTGCAACACAGTTCCAAGTAGCACGGGCTATGGCGAGCCCGTAGACTGTACAGTTCCCCAGTACCTCATTATCTGGAATATTTCATACAGTTTTGGTCACATATAGTAGAACAATTGACAAACTTGTTCACCACTCTGCAAATAAAGATAACAAATAAATACAAATTCATCCAAATCCCCATTAAAAAAAAAAAAGAGGCGAACTTGTCGAGTCCGTAAACGAGAAGAAATTGTTCTTGACAAAGTGGTGAAGTTTCTGTAGGAAGGAAATAAGTGACTTCTGTAGGAAGTCACTTGTTTCTGGTGCGCGCGCAACCTGGCATGCGCGCGCACACCACGCCCGTACATAAGGGTTCAGCATGGGGTCACGACCCCCAGGCCCAAACACAACTCAAAGATATTACATGACCAACCACCACATTCACCCTCAAACATCTACCACCTACTACGGGCTACTCATACCCGTGCCACCTCTCGTGGTGGCCTAATCTTCATCAAGCTACTGGCAGAAGGGCACTGCTCTTGTGCCAGGTAAGTTACGGGCTCGCCATAGCCCGTGCTACTTGGAACTTGTTCGGAGTAGCTGAATCTATAACAACAACACGTGACAAATTCCAGAATATGTTTGATAAACATCGGTTACACACCAACGAAGCCAGATACGTTTTCTTTTGAGTGGAACAACGTACTCGCATGGGGTATGTAAATAAAGTTTGCAATGTATCAACTCAAGTTATAACTCGAAACAGCGGATACTTCAGTTTTATCCTTAAATTACCTTATGTTCTCACCATTTATCTATTTCTCCCATGTTGACCAATTTACGCTCATTATTATTTACACAAATTTTTTTGTCTGATGCTTAAATTTCTCACCCACGAGTTAAGAAATTTTCCAAAAATTATATTCTCTCCATTTGTATCTCCTCTGTAACCCAATTTTCTCAGCAATACCGTCACTTTCTCAGCAATACCGTCACTTTCTCTGTCCATTGACAGGTCCCCGGGTGACGATGCCTCACATCAGCTTCAGAGACATGGGCAACCTGGTTCACCAAGCTACCCTCGCTGTCAACGAGAGGTTCGACTCCATTGAACCTGCCATCTACAACAGTGGTGAGTTGAACCTGCCATCCTACAACAGTGGTGAGTTGAACCTGCCATCCTACAACAGTGGTGAGTTGAACCTGCCATCCTACAACAGTGGTGAGTTGAACCTGCCATCCTACAACAGTGGTGAGTTGAACCTGCCCACCTACAACAGTGGTGAGTTGAACCTGCCATCTACAACAGTGGTGAGTTGAACCTGCCATCCTACAACAGTGGTGAGTTGAACCTGCCCACCTACAACAGTGGTGAGTTGAACCTGCCCACCTACAACAGTGGTGAGTTGAACCTGCCATCCTACAACAGTGGTGAGTTGAACCTGCCCACCTACAACAGTGGTGAGTTGAACCTTCCCCCCTACAACAGTGGTGAGTTGAACCTTCCACCTACAACAGTGGTGAGTTGAACCTGCCCACCTACAACAGTGGTGAGTTGAACCTTCCACCTACAACAGTGGTGAGTTGAACCTGCCCACCTACAACAGTGGTGAGTTGAACCTGCCATCCTACAACAGTGGTGAGTTGACCCTGCCATCCTACAACAGTGGTGAGTTGACCCTGCCATCCTACAACAGTGGTGAGTTGACCCTGCCATCCTACAACAGTGGTGAGTTGACCCTGCCATCCTACAACAGTGGTGAGTTGACCCTGCCATCCTACAACAGTGGTGAGTTGACCCTGCCATCCTACAACAGTGGTGAGTTGACCCTGCCATCCTACAACAGTGGTGAGTTGACCCTGCCATCCTACAACAGTGGTGAGTTGACCCTGCCATCCTACAACAGTGGTGAGTTGACCCTGCCATCCTACAACAGTGGTGAGTTGACCCTGCCATCCTACAACAGTGGTGAGTTGACCCTGCCATCCTACAACAGTGGTGAGTTGACCCTGCCCCCATTACAGTAAGATGACGGTGTCATGTAGCCCATCAGAGCCATGTGGCAGGTGTACACAACACTAGGATGACGTGAGGGGGCAGTGTACAGGCTGGACAGTCATCATGTTTGTGAAGTGTTGTAGTATAGCTCTCCTTAGACCTGTGTTGCTTCACACACACACACACACACACACACTCACACACTCACTCACTCACTCACTCACTCACTCACTCACTCACTCACTCTCACACTCTCACACTCTCACACTCTCACACTCTCTCTCACTCACTCTCTCTCACTCACTCTCTCTCACTCACTCTCACTCACTCACTCTCACTCACTCTCACTCACTCACTCTCACTCACTCACTCACTCACTCACTCACTCACTCACTCACTCACTCACTCACTCACCCCAGTAGCTCTCCCATGTATACGACAGTTGACGTCATACATCATGGTCCCCCATGGTCACTACTAGAGTACAGTTCTCTCCCATGCATACAACAGTTGACCTCATAAATGGCAGAGTAGCTGGCAGAGTAGAGCAAGTGTGAGAGGCGTGTGAGAGCTGTAACTAACTGTGACTGTCGCCCCCCCAGGTGCTCGCCAGGTCCCTGGTACGCCCGCCTGGTTCATGGCCGCCTCCCACAAGACCAAGGTGGTGGCTAAGAACATCTCCAGGATCGCTCTCATCTCCGAGGAGGCCACCAAGTACACCGCCCAGCAGTAAGTGCACATTATTATCATAATTATTCTTGAGAAAATGGGTTGGAGCAGTGCGGGGAGATTTGAACCGGCGTCGTTAGTATACTCGGTAAAAGTGGCGGGTTGAATAGGTTTTGTCCTGTCGTGGTCTGCTGGGGTTAAGATGTGCAGCTGATATTCTCCAGGACGCTGGTTCAAGTCCCCGCACCGTTCCCACTGAGTTTGTCTCAGATACTTTATGCCAGTGTGATTTTTTGTTATAATAATTATTATTATTGTTGTTGAGAAAATCATTTGGAGCAGTGCTGGAAGATTTGAACTCTCGGCCTGGGTACCCCCGAGCTACGGACCTTACCTCGGGACCACCACATGGTATAAGTTATACAACCTGGAATTCCACTGAATCCACAGGACGTCTGGAGGCTCCTACTGAAGCCAGTCCAGAGCTTACATATACACCCCCCCCCATGGTCACGATGTACTGTAAGTGATGTCACCTTCCAGGTACCGACTGGACAAGGACCAGGTGACCTATGGACTGCCCACAGCTGATGTAAGAGGTACTGTACTAGGAGACCAGTGCCCTGTTGAGGTGGACTTCCCCTGTCAGCCCAGGAAGTACCGGGCTTTCAACGGGTATTGCAATAATGTGCAGAACCCCAAATGGGGCAATGCCATCACTCGTTACCTGCGGTTCCTGCCTGCCAACTACGGCGATGGGGTGTCGGTGCCCCGTCAGGCCTCCAGCGGGGACTTCCTGCCTTCAGCACGCAGTGTGAGCCTCGGCCTGCACGGCAGCCACGACACGCCCCACAAGTTCATGACGGCCATCGCTGCCGTCTTCGGCCAGTTCATCTCCCATGACCTCTCCCACACACCTCAGATGGCAGGTTAGTTCCTCTTGTACACCATCTGCTGCATGTATACCTCAGATGGTTATTTAGTCTTGCACACCATCTCAGTCGCATGTAAACTGTCTCACACACACTCACTAAAGTGTGTGTGTGTGTGTGTGTGTGTGTGTGTGTGTGTGTGTGTGTGTGTGTGTGTGTGTGTGTGTGTGTGTGTAAACAGCTGTGTGGTGTCATAGTCTTAAGGGCCCGGATTCGGCTAACTGATGTAAACAGTGTGTATGGTTTATGAATATCTTCAGAGCACATGCGCGTTAATTTTGTATTCAAGTTCAATATGCCTTGTGACCATGGTTTTAGTAGATTAGTTTTATATAACTGACGGTCAGGTGTTTAGGGTTTGTGTATGTTAAACTCTCTCTTCCCAAAGTCATTCACTCTTACTGTAACTCACAAACTCTTCCCTGGTCATAAAAGTATTTGTGTGTACGTCTGATACCATACTACTTGTGAAGGAGGAAATGTATATGTTTACCTCTCAGAATGTTTGGTAATATGTTTAATGTTTGTGATGTGTGTCTATGTATATATTAACACGTTGTACTGAACGGGGTGAGAATAGCTTGAGCTACCTCATCCCTTTGTGTGTATTTTACCTCAATAAACTTATTTCAATTTCAACTCTTCCCTTAACTCACTCACTCCCCTCTTCCCTTGTCTCACTCCCTCCCTCTTCCCTTGTCTCACTCCCTCCCTCTTCCCTTATCTCACTCCCTCCCTCTTCCCTTGTCTCACTCCCTCTTCCCTTGTCTCACTCCCTCCCTCTTCCCTTGTCTCACTCCCTCCCTCTTCCCTTGTCTCACTCCCTCCCTCTTCCCTTGTCTCACTCCCTCCCACTTCCCTTAACTCGCCCTCTATTCCCTCGACACTCTTCACCTCTGACTCTTTTTTTTTTTTCATTGTAAAATTCATCTTGACTGACCCAGTAAACTGACTCATTGTCTGTCTCAGGTTACATCGGACAGCGGCTACGGTGTTGTGGCGTCAACTTCAGCGACTTCCATCCGGAGTGTTACCCCATCCGTATCCCAGATGGCGACCCAGTCTACGGGCCCCTGCAGCTCAAGTGCCAGGAGTACGTGCGCTCTGGCACCGCCCCCAGGACCGGCTGTACCCTCGGTAAGTGCCACCTGCCCATCTTTCTCACTAGCCCCCCCAGAGACAGCTGGGAGGAGTGCCACTGTAACCTTCTTGTCTCCTCCACAAATGAAAGGTTAGCGAGTCTTAAAAGAACTTATATTGCATATTTAAGCTTTAAGTTTATCTGGAGTATTTTTGTCACAGCAGATATAGAGTAGTGATGATGGTGAAGGAGGGGAAGTGGATGGGCCATAATTACTCATATATAACTTTTAATACACCGGTCTGCCCTCTCATTGGCCAATACACTGTGGACATGCAGCATGGTGGGGTTCACCAACCTTAAATGTGCTGACTGGAAGATAGTGTGCTCTAGCTTCAAGTTTAAGCTTTATGGTTCACTCGGGCTACACAGCCTACTTCCTCCAATTAAACTTTTCTTGTTAAGAGAAGAGTGTTAACCTTTGGGTAAGGTTATCTCAATATTTATACATAGATTTTGCCAATTAAACCTTTTTTGTTATAGTGCCATAAGTCAGTCAGTCTGTTTGTCTGTCTGTCTCTCTCTCTCTCTCTTTTTTTCCTCTCGCCCTCTCTCTCCCTCCTCCTCCTCTTCCCCCTCTTCTTACATACCTCCCCCCTGTAAACATTTCCTACCAATAATACTGTTACTGCCCTCAGGTCCTAGGGAACAGATCAACCAGGTTACCTCCTTCATTGATGGCTCGGTGCTCTATGGCTCCAGCAAAGAAGAATCCGACGACCTTCGAGCCTTCACTGACGGCCTCCTCAAGGTGCAGCGTGGCCCCACAGGCAACCAGATCCTGGCTGATGATGAAAACCAGATTGACTGCAAGTCGTCCTCGGGAAGACACAAGTAAGCTCTCGAAAGGAAAAAGGTTTCGAGGTCTCAGACTGGTTCTCGAGGGCTCAGGGTGGTTCTTGAGACTTGGGTTGGTTCTCGAGGGCTCAGGGTGGTTCTTGAGACTTGGGTTGGTTCTCGAGGGCTCAGGGTGGTTCTTGAGACTTGGGTTGGTTCTCGAGGGCTCAGGGTGGTTCTTATAAGCTCAGGCTGGTTCTTGATTATGAGGAACTACGACACCCATCCCACACATCTGAAGTTAAAGGAATTGACGATGTTTCGGTCCATGCTGGAACATTGTGAAGTCTTGTCCAGGTCATACAGAAACCTCGCCACTTTCTTTATTTTTGAATGTGTAGGTTTGGAGTCTAGATTTCAGCCACATTATTGTTTGCAAAAGGAAGTAAAAAAGCTACTTTATGCTTGTTATTGTGAATGAAGAAGTAAGGTCTTAAGGAGCAGGCAGGCAGCCTTAGGAGCGTAACATGGTTCTTATATATAAGGAAGAAATGTCTTAAAGTTAAGATCTTGGAAGGTTAGAAATGGTCTTGTGCATTATTAAGGAAGATCACAAACTTAGGAGCTGACTTATGGAAGCAAAGTCTTCAGGACTCTTAGGAACTCTAAGTGGTTTATGTTATATAATCTCTCATTTACATAGCAGCAGACTCGCCAGACTTCTGCATTCAAAACGAATTACTTTAAAATCATATTGTTTTAAAAAAAAAATTCCGTGCTCTTCATCTTTTTTTTCACTCACTATGCCTATCTCTCTCCCTCCCTCCCTCTCTCCCTTTCTCTCGCTCACTGTTTCCCTCTCTCACGCTCTTTCTCCTTCCCCAGGTGCTTCAAGTCTGGAGACGTGAGGGTGAATGAACATGTGGGTCTGACCTCGCTGCATCAGATCTTCGTCAGAGAACACAATCGCATTGCCTCTCAGCTGTCTGCCCTCAATGCCCACTGGACAGACGAGCAAGCCTTCCAGGAGGCCAGGCGCATCGTGGGGGCCGAACTGCAGCACATCACCTACACGGAGTTCCTTCCATCTATCCTGGGCCAGGTGTGTTACGAGTAGCAGCCAGATGATCAGAAAAGGCCTTGTAAGAGGGTAGAATCTGCAGGTCTCTTGATTTTCTCTCAGACTGAGAGAAAATTCTCAGTCTGAGGAGAGAGAGTGTTGGAGGGTAGGGATAAGTGACAGAACGAGGTAAGGTGCAGATACCAAACAAAAACAACGTGTCCTATATATCAGATCCTGTAATATTGTGAAAGTAGCCTTAATTCCTCATTAGAACACTAACCACTGGTATTTAAATTTGTAAAACCATTAGGAATTGTTGGGGGTGTATTAAACTATCAAAGATAAAGAAGCATTGCTTCATGTACTTCTCCTAGTCCTCTTTCTGCCATTTGAAGTATCAATGGCTATTTTGTTTCTCCTTTAAACGTGTATAATATAACTGGTGTGATTACCGAGTCATCTCCCGACACTGATTATTACCCAGGGACACCTAGAGCATCAAGGTCAGGAGTCACCACAACCTTCAGTGATTTCCTTCACTGAGAGAGGTGAAGGAACCTCTGTAACCTGAACCTGTATTTTAAGTGCAGTAATGGGGGTTGTAAGTGAATAAGTCATAATAAGTGTTAGGGGGAAGCAAGGAGGGGAGGGGAAGCGTGCAGTGAGGTATGGGTGGGTGTGATACTAGAGAAGAGAGGCATCTTAACAACACCTGGAGACTTGCTTGGGACACTAGAGTTGTATTGACTTCGTCAGCCAGGGGCCAGATTCACGAAAGCACTTACGAACCTGTACATCTTTTCTCAATCTTTGGCGGCTTTGTTTCCAATTATTAAACAGTTAATGAGCTCCGAAGCACCAGGAGGCTGTTTATAACAATAACAACAGTTGACTGGCAAGTTTTCATGCTTGTAAACTTTAATAAATGTAACCAAAGCCGTCAAAGATTGAGGAAAGATGTACACGTTCGTAAGTGCTTTCGTGAATCTGGCTCCATGTCTTGTGATTCTTGTTTCCTGAACCTCTCGGTGAGGAAGGAGTGGTGGGAGAGGGACAAGGGTGTCACAGTGAAGGAAGCGGTGATGGGAGAGAGGCAAGAGTTTTCATGCTTTTCATTCACAATTACCCTTCACCTGCTCTCACCTCACCTTTTAGCTGTCCTTATATTGGCTTCCTTCCCGCATGTGAGTGTTGCTTCTTAGTAAGGTCCAGGATGGCCGTCCTAGTTGTCACTTACATTACATAAATGTGGGTTGGGTTATTAACATTGTCAAATTAACAGGATAATTCACATTTTGTGAGTTATTATGCTAATTTAATCAACCTATTGAGTGGGTAATTCTGTGAGTCATGCTGACACAGCTTATTCACCGTATTGTTTGAGCCATCTTGGTTTTCATCACAATTCTTATTTAAGCCTATGTAACCCTTTCTCACCAACTTCTAACTTATTCTATGTCATCCTAACCCTTCTGAATGACCTTAAACCTGCCTAATACATCCAAACAATCCTAAAACAACATTTATACTGTCAAAATGGTCATGACCTTAAGGCTGATAGGGTTACTTCAGGACATTTTTCACCCTCGTCTATAACCGCAAGCAGTAACCCTGGTTATGTTCCTCAGGGCATCCTGGAGAAGTACGGGCTGGCGATGCAGACCTCTGGGTTCTTCTCTGGGTATGACATCAACATCAATGCGGGCATTGCCAATTCCGTGGCCACCATTGCTCTCAACTTTGTGGCCTCCATGCTGCCCAACACCGTCGCCTATTACAATGAGGTTAGTGAGCAGTGTTATAGTGTACAGTGTCTAGTGTGAGGTGTACTGTGTTGAGTAATTAGTGGGAAGTGTATAGTGCTCTGTATGTAGCATTCAGCATATTGTGTTCACTTTATGTTTGCCATGTAGGGTACAGTGTTAAGCATTGCCGTGTGCAATGGGACGTTAATATTGTGCTATGCTCTGTGCAAGTTTTCCTTTGTTGGGTCAGGAGTGGAAACGAGTCGGTCACAAGATGCTGTACTATTTTTAATAACACTCTTAATGCTTCTAACATTTGTTTGTATATGTATAAGTACTGTATATGATTTGATCTAACAAAATCATATACAGTACTTAAAAGAGCACCACTTTGTGATCTATGCACCAGGTTACAAACTGAGCTCAAGGGGAACTTATCATTTCATCCTTGTCTCTCTCAGGGTCGTAAGCTAAGTGAACGGCCCGTCACCGAGACCTTCTATGCGCCCTTCGATCTCTATGAGCGGGGCAAGTTCGACCAGGTGATAGAGGGTATGATCAGTGCCCACGCTCAGAACGAGGACACATCGATGGCCGATGCCGTGACAAACAAGATGTTTGCGGACTTGTCTACAGGAGTGGGTCTGGACCTGGCAGCCCAGATCATCCAGCAGGGCCGTGACCATGGCATTGACGGATACAACAAGTGGAGACACTTTTGCGGACTTCCTAAGGCGGCCAAATTTGAGGATCTCGGGGATGTAATGTCCCAAGATAATATCAAGAAGCTCAGGTCCACCTACAAGTAGGTTCTTCACCTTTCTATACTTAAGTGATTTCTCTTGCAAATGGGTTCTTATCTTGAGGTTATCTTGAGATGATTTCGGGGCTTTAGTGTCCCCGCGGCCCGGTCCTCGACCAGGCCTCCACCCCCAGGAAGCAGCCCGTGACAGCTGACTAACACCCAGGTACCTATTTACTGCTAGGTAACAGGGGCATTCAGTGTGAAAGAAACTTTGCCCATTTGTTTCTGCCGCATGCGGGAATTGAACCCGCGCCACAGAATTACGAGTCCTGCGCGCTATCCACCAGGCTACGAGGCCCCCCTTACTCCTACAAAGTGGTGTATTTTCTTTTCTATAATGGCAGTAGAATATGTTCTTACTACATCTATGAATATGCTTAATTGCATAATGAAATTAGATTCTTATACTGAGTAAGAATATCTTTACTACTACTGCAGGTTTGTATTTGTTCTTTCTGCAAGTGCATTGTTGTACACACAGGCAGGTTCTGAACACGCAGCAGACAAGTTGTTTTCTTACGCTATTTCTCAATGTTGGCTCCTACCTGTATGCCTTCTAAAAATTCTAGCAATTTTTTTTTATTAATTAACCCATAGACAAGCATTTCCTCAGGTAGCCTTCTATGTCTAATGCTTCTTTTGGTACTTCTTGTTCAAGCACTTCTGTAGGTAGCCCTCTATTTTGTGACACTTCCACAGGTAGTCTTACCTTGTGCTTCCACGTGTAGAACCCAAATCTCCATCGCGTCCTACTGTTTCTATAGTACTTCTGCAGTTATTACCCAAAAAATTTCAAATTTGATACACTCGTTAAGTTATGCTTGTGACACTGCACATTGTACGTGATTGTGTACAATATACAAATACTGTACTTACTAAGCTTCCACTTAATGTGCATTTGAGGCATTGATACAAACTGGCGTTGTGACCCAAATATCGATGAATAATATAGTTAGGTTCATTCTAAGTATGAGGCTGGCGGAAGTATTTATGTGACCGTGTATGAATGGACTTTGTAAGCGGGTTTGTATGTAAACAGAGGAAACAATATTGAGATGCCAGTATGTGCCAAATCCTCTTTTGAGTTTCCACCAATTGTGAGACGCTGGCGGTAGCTTCAATGACCCGGCGCCTGGTCCCTTCCAAGCGGCTTTCAGTCATGCTGGCTTAGCTGTTTATACTGAGAATTATCTTGACTTATTCTGCTTCTTCCTTTTGTCTTATTTAGTCATTCATGTATTTCACCCCACCACCAGGGAGGTAGATGACATTGACCTGTTCACGGGCGGCCTGGCAGAAAAGCCTAACAGGGGAGCTCTGGTTGGGCCCACTTTTGGCTGCCTCATCGGTCGACAGTTCCATTACCTGAGACGAGGTGACCGCTACTGGTATGAGAACGACCTCCCGCCCTCCTCTTTCACCAAAGGTACGACCTCCCTCCCTCCCTCCCTCCCTTCACCAAAGGTATGACCTGGGAGTCTCTGTGACTTGAAGACTCATACACATCTGATTGAGATGGCTTTTATTCCATATTTTTCACTTTTGGATCCCCAAAAAGTTTTTGTAAAACAGAATTTGCTCACCCAAATGACATTAAAAAATGGGAAATCTAACTAAAGCACCCAGCCTAAGTCTAAGCAAAGTACCCTGTCTCAGCAATCCTAGGCCTAATGCACAGTCTCTTAGGCCTAATATAGCTATGTGAAATACTAGGCCTAGGAATGTTTAAATTTAGTTTTTAGTTTTCTCGCACTGTACAAAATTGCTAGCTAAAAATGTGAGCTTTTTTTGGGGTGGAAGATTACATATTGGTGTGTCCGACCAAACGGTTGCAGGATGTGCTTCAGGTTTAGGAGGATAGTTCCTTATCACTAGTGTGACATGATCTCTTTTACTGTAATAATCAATATTTTCTGTTTAGTCAGAGTTATTCAATAAAACTATAATTGCTTATCTTTAAAGATGCACACATACACAAACTAGAGGTACAAATGAGTTAGAGACATCAGGAAGAACTTTTTAAGTCTCAAAGATGTTAATAAATGGAATAGGTTAGACGTAGAAGTGGTTAAACTTGTCAATTTTACAAACCAATTTTGATTCAAAATTGTACATGTAAATGTGATAAACGTGTGAGACACAAGTCATTGTATAATCTAAGAACATTCAGAAAGCGAGGCTAGGAACCTAATTCAACTCTGCAAGCACACCTTGGTGAGTATCTAGGCGAGTACGTACACACACACACACACACACACACACACACACACACACACACACACACACACACACACACACACACACACACACACACACACTCACTCACTCACTCACTCACTCACTCACTCACTCACTCACTCACTCACTCACTCGATCAGTCTCTTGGAAAGTAAAACAAATCCTCCAGAACCCTTGCAGACAAAAAAGCTTCACAACCTATGTGAAACAAGTCATGGAGGATGCAGCACCGGGATGGAATCCACTCCCAAAAATATTAACAAGTTGAAAGACTGCCACAATACTGTTGTCAGAAGTATGACACCTGAGTTAGGACAGGCTCAGTGACCTGACCTCATGAACACTGGAAGAAAGATAATGTAGAGGAGACAAGGTCACAACGTATAAGGTACTGAGAAATAGACAAAGTAGAAGAACAAACACGGTTCCATAAAGGAGAAGTCGGGTTTGACGACGTTGATTGAAACTGGAAATACATTTGAGCTATTGTAATGTAAGAAAGTACTTCTGCAGTGTAAGATGTGAGATAAATTATTTAGAAAGTAGAAGTTTGGACTAACTCAATCCACAGCTATAAAAATAGACATGACAGAGGCATAGATAATTGAAAATAGGTTGCATCATAGATAATCTATCCTTGCCTGCAAGCACATATATATATATATGAGAACATACTGGTAAGAATACAAGAAAATCTAGTTATCTCTCAAGACATTGCCCTACTGATCCATCCACAGAACAACTGTACGAGCTGCGGAAGGTGAGCCTGGCAAGGATTCTCTGCGACAACTCTGATCAACTCCAGTACGTCCAGCCCAAGGTCATGCTTGAAGCAGATTCCTTCTTGTAAGTATACTTCCTCGAGGGTTGCACATACTCTCTTTGCCCCAGTTGTTTCTGAAAAATGACCATTCTTCTATGTGTGGGTTGTGAGCCACATGGAGAGTCAGACAGTCAGGCCAGAAATGCGTGTGCAAGATCAGTTCTCTTAACTCACCCTCATTGTCCTCTGCCTCTTCTTCAGTTTTCTGCTTTTACTAATTCTTCACTTGAAGAATGATATGTTGTTGCTAAAAAATATGCTCAAAATATGTTTCTTGTTCAGAAGAAAGTGAATTATGCTATAGTGCAGTTATATCATTACAATCTTGTTTTAATCTTCCCAAAACAGTCTCAAATATTTTATTAAAAAACTGATAGTCTTGACCATTCGGGATCTTTACCATCTTCCCTGTCACAGGAACGCCCGCATGTCTTGCCAGGGCAAGAACCTCAAGTCCGTGAACCTGAAGAAGTGGAAGACCGCCAGCCCCAACTTCATCATCCCGGACAAGATGCTTCAAGAGAGCATTGACAGGGCCAAGAGGGACATCAGCAATATGAGGGACTCAGAGTGGAACCTCTGGGAGGCTCGTGAGTCTTTGTGGGCGTGTTCTGCCATATCCTTCCCTCTTCTTCCTCCTCTGCCTCTTTTTTCTTCCTCCTTCTCTGCCTCTTCTTCTTCCTTCTCTACTCTTCCTATTCATCTCCTCCTTTCCACTCATATTTATCAACACACACTGGGGGAGACAACTCCACAGTGGCAGAGCATATAGTACCTGTCTGGGTGCATGGCAACTTAGGAAGGGGGGCTCTGGCACACCATGACCACCTGTAGTGTCAAGTTCTTCTAGTAGGAGCCACAGAGTTGTGGCTCTGTTAATCATCTTCGGTTCTGCATGTATTGTATTGTTTACAATTGATGCTACAGTGTTGCTAGCATGATGAGTCTTCAAGTGTTCTAGCCAGACAAGAGGAGCCTGCCGGTGTATTGTGTGTCGTTGTATTAAGGTGGAGTAAAGTAAGGCACTACGGGCTCACCGTAGCCCGAGCTACTTGGAACTTTTTGTTCCAGGTAGCGAATCTTTAACAACAACATAAGGTGGAGTGTTTGCTCTCAGTGCTTCACACCACAGTGTCATGGTGAGCTTGTATAGAACTAGAACATGCTTGGAGCACAAGAAGAGGGTGTCCTCTATTTCAGTTCTTTGTTAGTCTTTTCTACTTTGCATGCTCCTCTTATTCTCTTCTTCACTGTTCTCAATGTTTTATCATCTCTCTGCCTGTGTCCATCCACTTGGATTGGTCAAGATAGTAACAGCCTCATTTCTTGCAGTTGGCATTTGATCCCTGACTGTGTGAATGACTGGGCACAGTTCCTTCACTGCATCCTTGTATCTTGGTTCTTAGCTTCTCCTCGCATCCTTCCAACACAGGTGCTGAATATTCATACTGACACCACATTCTCCTCATGATTACCTTACCCTCACCTTATCTCTCACTATCACGCACTGTACATGTGGTCCTGTAGCACAGTGGTCTTCATCCTCGACCTCACGACCGAGGGTCCCGGGTTCAATTCCCGGGTAGGACAGAAACGGTTTGGCATATTCCTTTTCACTTGACACCTCTAGAACCTGTTTAGGTTCCTTAGAGAAACTTATAACTCATAAGAGGAGTTAGGCAACTGTTGTGGGTTGCATCCTGGGGAAGGCCTAGTTGGTCTGGGAGGGTACCTTGATAAGCCCAGATACTGGTTGCCTCTCCCAGTCAATGGCAAACTCTACGGGCACACTAGGTAGGTGTACATATGAAAGAATGAGTGAGTGAGAGAGAGATATAGTTTGAGAGAAAAAATAGCACGAGAGTGAGTGTGAGTTTGGGGTGTTGGTGTTGTGTGCGTGCATGCCAGAAGTGTTTATCAAGCTGTGGATATGGGTGGGCTGCACATCCTCTACTCCTGGTCTGGTCCACTGGCTTACCCCGTGCTGCATGCTAGTACTTTGTGCGTTTATCTGCCTCATTAGTGTTTCCAACTTCTGTCTCCCTATTATTTCCTCTAAGAATGAATGGTCTCTCCCTATCCATGTCTATTCCTGTCAGTATCTTGCATGTTATGGTCCTATCACCACTCTTTTCTAGTGTTATATTGAGCTGCTACAGTCTGTCTCCATAGCTTTGCTTCTATATTTTTGGTTGCAGTCTTGTAGCAAATCTCTAGATTTTCTCTATTTTCTTGATCTTCCAAAACATGCTTTTAGACTTTTGGACTGATGTAAGCCGAGTACTCTTTATGCTTCGTTGCCCCTCTTTCCCCACTTTTTGCTTTGCATTTGTTCAGAATGAATTTAAGTAACCATTTCTCTGCCCAGTATTGCAGCTTGTGTCTTCCTTTAGAAGCCTGCAGCCTTACCACCTTTGAATCATATGCAGATCTTGGCAATTATTTTTTTTTTGGGGGGGGGGCTAGTTGGCTAACTCAAAATTGAGAGAGTGGAAGTATTTATAAGTCGACTCGATCATGTGTCTGGAGAGACTACCACAGAATGAGATAAGATAGAATGACTACCTCATTTGATTGGTTACTTGTAAACCAGGAAGGTTATTTTACAAGCTGGTGTGGACATGGTTATGTACCAGACACGAGCCTAAACTAAACTTGAAACAACACTGCCTACTCAATGGGTTTCAAACTCTAGACTCCTAGATTGCATGGTTATGGGTCTGCTACCCGGGTTGGTCAAGGGCCAACTCTTGTAAGAACCCACTTGTTACTTTCCTCCATTGTGGCTGTTTTTCTCTTGATGTGACTCGTTTCCTGTGTGTAAGGTATTCCCTCGCTAAAAAGATTTGCTTTGGCATTTTGAAAGATGCAGTTATCACACCTTTCTTTCTCTTGCCAACCCTTAGTTTGTCTTATGCTTCTCTAGGTTTCTTTGTCTACGAGGTTAGACAGACATGACGTGTGTACCCCTTCTGCCCCCCCCCCACACTACCTGTGTTGGTGTGTGTACTTGTGCTAATTTTGCTTACATGTATTTGAAGCGTTCAGAGTTAGCTGCTCCTAATCCTCGCATTTCAAGCTGTTTGTCGTTTAATGCTTATATTTCTGACTTGTGTATTTCCTGTTAAAACTGAGTAACGTTTTTCTTTTGCTATATCTTTATATAAACTGTTTCACTTGCTTGCTTGTTATTTTGACATCTCTGTGTACAAGTAAACTCGCCTAGATGTACCTGGAGGGTCGAGTGTCTGCTCTTAAGCCCCGCCTTTTGACCATCTGTACAGTAGTTAAATGTAGTGACGCTTTTGACTTTTTATTATTTTTACACCTAATACTGTGTATCAATTTGTCCTCGAGGACTTCCTCTTTTTATCTCTTCCATTTATTTATGACTCAAGTGAAGAAATTCTTTCTGACATAAACATGTCTGTGAGTATAGTTATACGTGTGTGTGTGTCAGTGTCTGTGGGTTATGTGCTTGTAGTTGTGTGTGTGTGTGTGTGTGTGTGTGTGTGTGTGTGTGTGTGTGTGTGTGTGTGTGCACGCGCCCATAAACTAACAGTGGGCGTGTGTGTGCTCTAGCGGGAGGACGCGTGACCCGAGACGCGCCCCCTCGACCCCACCGACAACCCCTGGTGACCTCTGACGTCATGCACGCACTCATTGACCGTTCTGACCTGAGCCTGAGTGCCCGAGTGGTTCGCGAGGCTGAAGAACTTCTCCACGACTGCTTCGTGGTCGGAGTTGAGGCCTGGAAGTACATGAGATCTCACGAGAAGGATATATGGAGACGCCGTGAGTATGACGCCATGCTCTTTTGACCTCTCCCAACCACTGACATGTCCCCCTTGACTACTTCCGACCTGTGACATATTCCCTTGACCTCTCCTGACAAGTTCCCTTGACCTCTCCCCACCTCAGACATGTCCCCGTGACCATTCCTGAGCCCTGACATGTCACTTGATCCTGGCTTTTGGCACTTCCATTTTGCACCAGATGCTTGACTTCGTGTGTCTACCCTGAGCTGGCTGCCTCATTCTGGTTCCGGGCCTTTTTGAACCTACAAGAATATTAGCGGAACTTGTCTCTCTCGACCTCAAGCTTTGACCCGACTCGACCATTTCCCGCACCTCCCGCTGCCCACAACGCGCTGGCCACCCACACCACTGACTAACCACTCGACATCCACCAACACACCACTGGCCAGCCACCCAACGCCCACCCGCACACCACTGGCCAGCCACCCAACGCCCACCCGCACACCACTGGCCAGCCACCCAACGCCCACCCGCACACCACTGGCCAGCCACCTGACACCCACCCACCCACACACCACTGGCCAACCACTCAACACTGGCCAGCCACCTGACACCCACCTGCACACCACTGGCCAGCCACCTGACACCCACCTGCACACCACTGGCCAACCACCTGACACCCACCCACACACACACGCCCTTGGCCAACCACCTGCTTACTATTAGAATTTAGATGCATCCACTGCTGAAAACTGTCTTGTGTGAATCTGCTAATAGTTATACAAGTGCAAACTACCTTGTATATATCTCTCCCTTAAGTCTTGTTTAGTCCTGCTTAAATGATCTCTGACACTGCCTAAATCCTGTTGAAACTTGTTAAATTCTATTCAAAACAACTTATCCTTGAGGAAGCTGTTCAAATCATTTTTTCTTGCTTTCACACTTCTCATACAGAACTCTGACCATCTCGGTACACGTAGTCATTTTTAAACATTTCCAAACGTGTTCCCATATTACTAGTAATGCCTAAAGCCCAAAAAAGCAAGAGCCTAGGATATGCATGACCTCTTAATATGATGAGTGAAGTCATGCATATCCTAGTCTAAAAATTGTCTAAAAAAAATTGTCTAAAAATTGAAGTCTAGCTAAACATTGCTTAACGTGCTAGAGGTGAGGTTTTGATCCCTTTATCTATACCTTGTTTAAACAGTTTTTTTTTTTAATATTCACCGGCAGTTTTAACAAAAAGGATCTGTCCTTTGTGTTTGGATCAGGCATTTAAATTGAGGGACACTTTCTCCTCTATGTATGAGTTATATATAGTTATATATAGTTATATATAGTTATATATAGTTATATATAGTTATATATAGTTATATATAGTTATATAATAGACATGAGTTAATCCATGTGTCTGTTCTCTCCATATATGGAGCAGACATTTTAAACTTTGGGTCTCGTTAAACCAGACATGACAGGGCTGATCTCATCGAGAGGCTTAAAATACTGAACAGGTTGGAGGATATTGGTCCAGACAACTTTAAAAGGTCAGATGTAGCACAAGCAAGGAGCAATTGTTTCAAGCTCAATAAGCCACAATACAGGACAGAAAACGAGAGACGCTTTTTCACCTATTGGGTTATAACCCCCTGGAACTGCCTATCCGCTGAAATCGTAAATGCCAAGACATTACTTGTTCAATATCCAGATCGAAAAAATCCTCTGTAGGTATGGGAGGGGGGGGGGGAGTCCTTTGACAAGCCGCTGGCTTCCTGCCCCTGTCAATGCCACTAGGGAGATAGTGACCCTTGGGTAAATACAGGTATGGGGAGGGATCTTTTCTTTGTACTTTTTCTCTTGTTTATTGGATATGTGTTTTAACCTTAGAATCTACCTCTCATTGCACTCATCAAACACAAACTATGGATGTGTCTGCTAGCTATATTTTATATATTATATATACATACGTACCCGCCAAACACACACCGAAACTACGACGTTGGTACAACGTTCGAACAAGTTTTAACACCTCCTAACCAGTTATAACAACCAATATAGCAAGTTGTAACAACGTTCTAATACGTCATAAACACGTTAAGCCAAGATGTAACAACTTTATTACAAGTTGTAACAAGCGGAAAATAGAGACGGCTTCGGTTTGTGTTTCCAGGGTATACACACATGCTAGATGGGTACCTGGCAGTGCCTGAGTGTGTCTCGTCTCTGGCTGTCTGTGTATCTCTCTTGTCCTCCCTCCCTTCCAGTCTCTCACTCAGAACACACAATACATGGGTACCTGGCAGTGCCTGAGTGTGTCTCGTCTCTGGCTGTCTGTGTATCTCTCTTGTCCTCCCTCCCTTCCAGTCTCTCACTCAGAACACACAATACATGCACCCAGCAAACACAAACCATAATCACACCATTATTTTGATTATTATTAGATACAAAGTTGTAAGAATATTGTGGTTATGTTGTGTGTTTGATCAACAGCTTTAACAATCTGCAAACACTTTGGACAATCAAACCCACATTTCGTACATCATAGGAGTTGCTACTTCTCATAATGGAGGCAGATCCTATTTAAAGATCCTATTACACTTCCCAATCCCATCACAATTTACCGTGGAATGTTGCACAAGATGATGGTGGAGGCCAAAACCATCAGTAGTTTCAATCATATGACAGAGTGCTAGGAAGACGGGACACCACGAGCTTAGCTCCCATCCTGTAACTTCACTTAGGAAATTACACATACAGTATACTGTATACATATATAATGTTAAATGCCACCATGACCTAAAATGCAACACCTGACTATGCTGATGAACCTTAAGGGAGACTTCAGTAACCTTGACAAAGAAGCTCTGAGATTGCTATACATAATCTGTGAGATTATTACCCTTAAATGTACTGCCTTGACACTCAATCCCAACCTGAATCAATTTACAGAAATTGTTTAAAAATGAGATGTGCAACAGTTGTTTCTGAGTTTAGACTGAATTGAAGGAAAGTCTGAGAGTAGTAGTTTTTAAGTTAGAAGAATGCCTCGTGAAGTACTTTGTTATAACAAAGGTGGCTCTCTTAGTTCTTAAGTACCAAGGACACTTCACATAGTTATTAAGACCTTCTTTGAATGCTCCTGATGATGTTCTGTTGTACTGTACTTCTGTTCACTGTGAACATCTTTGTATTGTAGTCTTTCCCGTTTGTATTGTGCTCCTTCCTCTCATTTTTCTGCACTCCTATTCACTATGTGTTCATGTGTGCTGCTTTGTTCAAAGCTGCTTTCTGCTTGATATCTGATAATTTGCTATGTGCCTCCATTAATATTATTTATAACATACTGTATAAACCAAACTACATGTATTGACATAGACGAATTTACCTCCATTTACAAATTGATCTGATTTTGAGACAATTTTTTCAGTTTTCCTTTTCTTCAAAATTTCCAGATTACTAAAAAATTGTGAATATTTTCATATTTAATTTTACACACTGTCTACTTTTTTACACGTTTGTATTTTTAAAATTTTCTCAAGTTTTTTATATATTGTACTGCATCAGATTACCAACCAATTTCTTTTTATTTTGACATTGTGTCAACTTCACTCGCTAATTAATCCTTTTTGTTGTTTACATCCCCCCTCCTCCCTCTCCCCCTTCCTATCTCTCCAGATCTGACTTATCATCCCCCATCTTGCAGAGCTGATTTTTTCTCTTTCCCTATCTGGCAGAGCTGACAGCTGACCCCAAGGGACCACTTGGATCAGCCTATGCCTTCAGCAAGCCCAAAGCCCAGTCCATCAAGATTTCAAATTCATCTTTCATCCTTCAGTTTGCTTCAGCTCGCTTCGTCAACAATTACTTTGCAGGGTAAGTGACGTTTTCATACAAAGAATAGTTTGGTTCACATGTCATTTTCTCATAAGATTTATTTAGGAGGGAGTGTCTGGGAGGATTCCTAGGGTGGATCCTTGTGCAGCTGCCTGGAGAGCTCCACCCATTCCATCCGCACCAGGGGCCAGATTCACGAAATCACTTAAGCAAACACTTACGAACCTGTACATCTTTTCTTAATCTTTGGCAGTTTTGTTTACAATTATTAAACAGTTAATGAGCTCCGAAGCACCAGGAGGCTGTTTATAACAAAAACAACAGAGGAATGGGAAGTTTTCATGCTTGTAAACTGTTTAATAAATGTAACCAAAGCCGTCAAAGATTGAGGAAAGATGTATACGTTCGTAAGTGCTTGCGTAAGTTCTTTCGTGAATCTGGCCCCAGGACCTTGTGAGACATTGTAAGCCGGCCAGGGAATAGAGCCTAAAAACTGGGCCCCCTCTATAGAGGTGCAGTGAGCAGAGGATCCTAGATTACTTTAACCAAGAAAACATCACCAGAAAAGTGGACGAGACAAAACAATCAACAAGGTAAATACTGTACAGTAGAACAATGAAAACGAGACACGAGGCACTGAACCAAGAGAACCACCAGACTAAAGGCAGTTTACTTGTTAGTTCCATGTGCTCACAACAAGATGACTGTGTATCACCCAAGAAAATCCTCCCCATGTGTACCTTTTATTCCAGTTCCTTCCATCTATTCCTCCTCCTCTCCTCTTCCTAGCTTCCTCTCCCGGGAGAGGTTATGTCATGACCTTTACCATCTGCAGATTCTAAATGCTCTGACTGGTCATCTTGTTGCAAATATCTTAATGGAAAGTTTCTTGTCTTGCCAGGTTGAGTCAGGAAAAGCTTAAGTACACATGATCCTGGGGGGTGGGGGATTTGTCCTTGCACCTCATGCACCTTTTCATCCCTTTTTTTCTATATCTAACTCTATCGATCTCTTATCTCTCACTCACCCATTTTCTTTCTCGGTCTCTCTGACCTGATGACACAAGTAGGAGGTATTGATCTTCCCCATAACACGATGAGTGGTATGTTTTGCTGGCCTTTAGTTATGTGCACCCAGCTCCTGTATTTTCTTCGTGTATGTGTATATTTATGCTTTGCTACTTTTTTTAGTGCTAGTCATAGCACTGATTAGCTAAACTTGCTGCTACCCTCGCAAGTGCTGACTAGCAGAGCCTGCTGCTACCCTCGCAAGCGATGACTAGCAGAGCCTGCTGCTAATAAAAGTAGCACATTGCAGATAGTGAGCAAAAATGAAAGCAGCCAACCATCATTGGGTTTACTAATTGTTCCTACTTAGTCATTATTGCACATTTGTGCTAATCACCATGGGTTGACTTGAGCTGTGTCAGCTAGTTACATGATCACAACCTCCCACCATGCACACCCCAGTAAGCCATGCCATAGATTAGAGTCAGCCAGGTGAATCTTCTAGAGAATACCACCATGAATGTTGCCACAGCAAGAACAAGGATGTGATTTGATAAGGGGCATGTGCTGCTGGGATGGGTGTGTCTGCTGTCGTCTCTCTGTAGTAGAGTGGCTACATACTGTTTCCATACTGAGATGCTTGGCTGTGAACGTTACCATATGTGTGTGTCTGGGTTATGCTCTAGGCTGCTATTATCATGTGCCAAAGTGTATATGTAGTCTTAGGTTTCTGATAAGTTACCTAAGATTAATGTTGATTTTGTCTTAATGTTTCCCGGCTTCTCGCGTCTAGTTTAAGTAGTCATGTTTGAGGGATTATACTTCCTATGGGAGTTATTTTTTACCATTCCTGCTTTGTCTTGTTTTTCACTCCTAGCTGCCTCTACTCCTTCTCCTTGGCTTAATAATTCTCCTCCAATAATTCTTCCTTATTTTCCTTCTGTTCTTTATCCTGCACGTCTTCCCCCACACCTTCTCTGTTCTCCTTCATAATCACTTCCCCTGGTTGATACCTGGTTGATACCTGGATGATACCTGGATGATACCTGGTTAATGGGGTTCTGGGAGTTCTTCTACTCCCCAAGCCCGGCCTGGGGCCAGACTTGACTTGTGAGAGTTTGGTCCACCAGGCTGTTGCTTGGAGCGGCCCGCAGGCCCACATACCCACCACAGCCCGGTTGCTCCGGCACTCCTTGAAGGAAACAATCTAGTTTCCTCTTGAAGATGTCCACGGTTGTTCCTGCAATATTTCTGATGCTCGCTGGTAGGACGTTGAACAACCGTGGACCTCTGATGTTCATACAGTGTTCTCTGATTGTGCCTATGGCACCTCTGCTCTGCGACCCTATTCATTATATTTTGAACTCCTCTCCTGCTACTAATCTTTCTCTAGTTCTCACTCTCTACTTGCTCTCCTCTTAAGTCTACATGAGGCGTTATAGCCATTCCTTTCCTACCCCTCAAGACCTCTCCTCTTCCCAACCACCACATAACCAAATCCACTAACACGGATCACACCGGTTGCTGCTTGCAGGAAACCCGGTGTGAGAAAGAGCCGTAATGCCGACAGACAGCTGAAGGATATAGAGTCGGGCTCTCCCAACAACGTGGTGGACCTGATGGAAGTGCTGCCCAACATTGATGTCAGTGACATCATGGAGATCCCAAACGTGTTCGAGTGTGATGACCAGACCCTTCCCTGCGACCACACCACGAGGTTCAGAACGGCTACCGGCTGGTGCAACAACCTCAACTTCCCAGCATTTGGCAAGTCCTTCCGGGCTAATAGCCGCCTCCTCAGACCTGCCTACGATGATGGTGAGTACCCAACATTGTTTCACCGTCACCACAGTTCTCCACCATACCCTTTATTGCCTTATAGCATGTAATCCTCACCACATCCCATCAGATTGTGAGTGACAGAAATGGATTGAGTGTCTTCCCATGTATACACCTAATTGCCTCCAGCACATAACATGTACTCATCATAGCATGACCACCTCACGAATGTGAATTCACCATAGCATGTACCGGTGTACCCCACAGGACTATCCAAGCCCAGGACCACCTCTGTGACAGGCCGGCCCCTACCCTCACCTCGACTCATCTCAACAAACATGCACAATGACGTGTCGGCACCACATGTGCGCTACACGCTCATGGTGATGCAGTGGGGGCAGTTTATTGACCATGACATCATCTTCACCCCCGTCAACAAAGGTGAGGTGTGTGTGTGGGTGTGTGGGTGTGGGTGTGTGTGTGTGTGTGTGTGTGTGTGTGTGTGTGTGTGTGTGTGTGTGTGTGTGTGTGAGTGAAAGGGGTATTGTTGTGTGTTTGGATGTGATTATGTTGCTTGTTTAGGGAGCATGTTTGTGTATATTGATAGGAATGCATGTTTGTTTGGAAGGCTGGTGGTATAAAGAAAGGTAAGGTGTGTCCATTATATATATATATATATATATATATATATATATATATATATATATTGTGACGGTAACGCGTTGGTGTTCGGCTGTTTAAGGCTAGGGGTATGGCCTCGTCACATAGTTATAAAAAAAAAATAGAAAAACTGGAACTTCGTCTGTGGTAAGGTAAGGAGAAGACACACAAAACACAAGTAAACTTTAACAATGAAATTTTAATTACGTTAAATAAATCAAAACATGAAAATAATGCACAAACAAATATGTATAATAAAATCAATCAATCAAAATAACGAATACTTAAATGACACAATGAAAAGTTACGTTAAGGCAAAATCAAGAAGTGCAATACAGAAAAGATGTATTTAATATACGAAAGTACTTACGAAAGGAAATTCCTGTTTCATTTATCCTCCGTGGTCGATCAACGGGTACATTTGTCCGAACAGGTGGCTGGCTCATACGTTATTGCTCACCCTGGCAAGCCTTGCTGGTGTTGTTGTCGTTGTTGGACATTTCTTCCATAGTATTTTTATATATTGTGAAGACGTAATTATGGAGGGAAGAGCAGGCTCAATCTCTTATTATCGTCACAATATATATATATATATATATATATATATATATATATAATATACAATAATATACACATATACTGTATATACTATCAGACAATATGCATACAAAACTAACTGATTTACCATATGTGCCACATTGCTGATATTTTGTGATTATCTCTACCCCTTGAAGAAGTCTAATGCCTCTTCCCTTTTTCCCTGCTCCTCCTTGCAACCACAGGGTTCCAGGACTCCATCCTGGACTGCAGAAGTTGTGATTCCCCGCAGACGGTCCATCCGGAGTGCTTTCCTATCCACATCCCACCCAATGATCCGTTCTTCCCTCCGGTCAACATCTCTTCCGGACAGCCCTTCTGTATGCCTCTAACACGTTCCATGCCTGGTCAGCTTACCCTTGGTAAGTCCCGTTCTCTCCCTACTGTGATAGGTTTAGCACTCTACCTGGCTTAGTCTGGTAATTCTGACCCTTTCGCTGATCTAGTCACGCAAGAAAGTAATTATCAAAAGAGGGCACCAAGCCAGTTATCTCCAGAACACAACTCCAAATCTGCAGATATAATGCCATGTTTCTTACAGTATATTGGAATGTTTCTTAAAAGTATTTTACAATATTACCTAGAAATATATCACCATGTTCCATCTGAATATAACAGCAACAGCTCCATATCCTTTAGAAATATAAATCGGTATCCTGAACAAATATTCAGCTAGAACATTTTAATTTTTGACTACTAGAGCCTCTTACAAGGCAGCATGTCAGTGTAGTGGTGTTAACAACCACTCATCTTCCTTCTTCACCCACCACCAGGTTACCGGGAGCAGATGAACCAAGTGACTGCATTTATTGATGCGTCCCATACCTATGGCTCGGATAAGTGCGAGCAACGGCAACTGCGAACACTTAAGGTGAGCTTCTACCCATACTGCTCTAGGTACACCCAACCCTTCTCCTGGCCACTATATGATGTACACCAGCAATGTAATCCTGTTCACTATTAATACTATGATAAGCTAGTTTGGTTTGGTGTTGGGGTTAAAGCCTGTCAACCTATGGAAGGTTATTAGGGCAACAAAATCAGCTTGCTGACCAGTCACTGAGTATACGTTAGTCCTGAACATTGTCCAGGACTAAAGCAAACTTTCAGTGTACATAAAGAGAGGTGCAGGTTATACCTCTTAGGTGTATATACAATATATCCTGTGGTAGGTGGCTGGAGGAGTTGTGTTAAATGCTGTGTACTCACCTATTTGTATTCACCTATTTGTGCTTGTGGGGGTTGAGCTCTGGCTCTTTGGTCCCGCCTCTCAACAGCCCAACTATTGAGAGGTTGACAACCCAACTCCAGTTGGGTTGTCAACCCAGTCACTCAATGTGTGATTGGCTAAAGCTGTTATTTAACTGTTATTGTAGACACGTAGAAAGGTTCCATAAATATCACGATGGCCTCACTTTACATCATAGAATTTAAACTCGCATATATAAGAACTAATCCATCATCGACCCCAAGGTAAAAATACTAAAAACAGACTATGGCCGGTGATAATATATAACAACCTCACACATGTCTCGCACCTGTCTCACAGGATAAACCTGTCATACTATGGCTAGTGATAATATATAACAACCTCACACATGTCTGGCACCTGTCTCGCAGGATAAACCTGTCATACTATGGCTGGTGATAATATATAACAACCTCACACATGTCTGGCACCTGTCTCACAGGATAAACCTCTCATATGGCCGGTGATAATATATAACAACCTCACACATGTCTGGCACCTGTCTCACAGGATAAACCTCTCATATGGCCGGTGATAATATATAACAACCTCACACATGTCTGGCACCTGTCTCACAGGATAAACCTCTCATACTATGGCTGGTGATAATATATAACAACCTCACACATGTCTGGCACCTGTCTCACAGGATAAACCTCTCATATGGCCGGTGATAATATATAACAACCTCACACATGTCTGGCACCTGTCTCACAGGATAAACCTCTCATATGGCCGGTGATAATATATAACAACCTCACACATGTCTGGCACCTGTCTCACAGGATAAACCTGTCATACTATGGCTGGTGATAATATATAACAACCTCACACATGTCTGGCACCTGTCTCACAGGATAAACCTGTCATACTATGGCTGGTGATAATATATAACAACCTCACACATGTCTGGCACCTGTCTCGCAGGATAAACCTGTCATACTGTGTGTGTAAGGTCAAGTTAGCTGTTTTGGTTACGGTGAGTTAGGAAATGTTTTTATTGTCAGAAAAGTATGAAGATGCTTCAAAATAATAACTTTGAACATAATCGGTATGACTTAAGTACAGCAATAGACTGTCATCTATGCTAATATGTCAATATTTAATGCATACTGTATATTGTGAACATTCTTTGATGCTGGGCTGATATAAACAAACAAATCATTGTATAAATACAAACAGTCAATTTTGTATGTAAACTTAAATGAATATATCAGTATATAAATATGGAAAATGGCAAATTACAGAAACAATATAAATAATATTATTTTAGTAATATGAATGTAACAAGTTTGGTGTGTTCTCTTGTGATACAGGACGGGCTATTGAAGGGCACAACCAACCCTCTCCGTGGCAAGCCTCTCCTGCCCACAGAGTCAGACAACCATGAATGTCAGGCACCTTCAGGAAAATGTTTTATTGGAGGTAAGTTCCAGGACACTGGGGTTAAATTTCTGATTACTGAGCAGAAATGTTTCAGAAAATTTTAAAAGTAATTTACATCTATGTGGCCACGTCTTAGCTGTCTTCCACCCGTGTCTTCCTCAGGGGATACTCGAGCATCGGAGCAGCCAGGTCTGGCAGCCCTCCACACCCTGCTGATGCGTGAACACAACCGTGTAGCACATGGACTGAAGACCCTCAATCCTCACTGGACCGATGAGCAGCTCTTCCAGAATGCCCGTCGCATAGTCACGGCTGTCAACCAACACATCACTTACAATGAATTCCTCCCCAGGGTGCTAGGATGGAATGCTATCAACCTCTATGAGCTTGGCCTCCTCCCTGAGGGCTATTTTGAGGGTGAGTGCTGAGGAGGGTGTGAGGGAGTTTGGGGCCTTATGGGTGAAAGCTGTTGTGTAGAGATTAATAGGTTTTTGTTATATAGGGTGCTGTTGTATTGAGTAGTAGTACTTCTAGCTTTCATAAAAAGCTAGAAGTGTCTTGCTATGAAAGCATTCAAAATAAGACCCTACCAGCCTGCATAATCATCTTGTAGAAAAAATAATATTTTTAATTTCTGTTTCCGTTTAGATGTTTTGTGTCATCTAAGTTTAGTGTGTATGTATGCATATTTATATATCAAATGAAGTTTACTAATCCTGCCCCTTGTATAAAAGGTTACGACCCATACTGCAACCCCACTGTTGTGAACGAGATTGGGATCGCCTTCCGTTTTGGTCACTCGCTGTTGAAGCCTTCACTAGAGAGGATGGACAGCATTTTTGCCAAGCGGGACCCACCGGTGAAGTTGAGTGACCACTTCTTCAATCCTGATCTCCTTTACCAACCAGGGATGTTGGACGAGATTATCCGTGGTCTTACCACTGTATCCATGGAGACCCTAGACCAGTTCATCACAGATGAAGTAACCAACCATCTCTTCGAGGATACAAAGAAGCCATTTTCAGGTCTTGATCTTGCCTCGCTCAACGTTCAGCGTGGGAGAGACCATGGCCTCCAGCCTTACAACGAATACCGTGCCCTCTGCAACCTCACAAAGGCCCGCAACTTTGATGACCTCCATCGTGAGATTGCAACACCAGTCATTGAACGCCTCAAACGAACCTATACCCACGTTGACGATATCGATCTCTTCACTGGCGGTCTGATAGAAACGCCCCTCCATGGGGGTTTGGTCGGGCCCACCTTTGGCTGCATTCTAGGCATTCAGTTCCGCAACCTGAGGATGTGCGACCGCTTCTGGTATGAAAATGCTGACCCACTGGTCCGCTTCACTGATCCACAGCTCACCGAGATCCGAAAGGTGACGTTGGCAAAATTGCTCTGTGAAAACTGCGACACTGTTGAGTCGGAACAGCGCTCTGCCTTCGACCTCCCCGATCCTTTCTTGTGAGTTTTTTTTTTTATTCTGCTCTCATATTACACTCGAGATGCACTTAATACAAATGTTTCCTCCTTTTCTCTACAAGGCATGTGTGATTATACTTTCAATACAGACTATATAGATTTTATGAAAAAGTGTGTCATATTTGAGTCATTAGAGACATAGCTCATAATTCCACCCATTAACCCACAGGAACCCCAGGGTAGCATGCCGGGACTTGCCTGGTGTCAACCTGGAGCTTTGGAAGGAGAGAGTGTCCTGCGGTGTTGGCAGGACCAACATCGAAATTGGAGGTGCTGAAAGAATATCTCCGTGTGTTATGTGCACCTGCACTAAGGAAGGGGTAAGTACGACTGGTGTGTGTGTTCCTCATGTCCCTTCACCCTAGTCCCACCCCTGCGTGTGACCCCCTCCTCCTGGTCCCACTCTTATGTGTCTTTCCTCATCCTCGTCCCACCCCAGTGTCCCCCCCCCCTACATCCTGGTCCCCACCGTGTGTGTGTGTGTGTGTGTGTGTGTGTGTGTGTGTGTGTGTGTGTGTGTGTGTGTCCCCTTTCCCTGGTCTCGTTTCCTTAGGTCCCCTCTCCCTGTTCCCACCCCTTTGTCCTCTAGTTCTGATCATACTCCTTGTGTCTCCTCGTCCTGGTCCCAAATCTTGTGTCCCATCACCCTGGCCCCCACCCTTTGTGTCCCACCTTCCTATAAATTTGCCCTTCACACTTCCTTATAGAAAACACTCCTTTCAGCCCTCCCTGCAGATAAATGCCCTCAGTCTTCCCCGTAGATAACTCTGCCATTCCCATCAAGAAGTCACCAACTACTTCTATGTGTCTTTAGCATATTATAGTCGATGGATTAAAGCGTGCGTCCGGGGGTTATCCAGGACGCAGGTTTGATCCTGCTGTCCTGTACTAAAGAATTTCTTAGATGCATTATGTTATTGTAATTTCCTTGTGTACTTCTCCATGCCTTTTTTATTACTATAAATCCCACCCTATGTCCTTCCTCTACCTTATTGGCCTGTCATCTTCATTTGGCCTCTCCGCCTTTTAGTTTGTTCCCTCTCCCTCACTAAGCCTGTCCCTCTCCCTCACTAAGCCTGTCTATCTCCCTCAGCCTGTGTGTCAGAGCCTGAAAATCGACAACTGCTTCCACCTGGCCCAGTCATACAGCCCGGAGGCCATCCTCAACGACCACGTCTGTAAGGTCCAGTGCGCCTTTGCCTTCCGGGCCTTCCCCAAAGTGGGCTCCCAGAATTCTAACCAACTTGGCTTCTCCAACAGATAAGCTAATAACTGCAGTGGGTTTATGTGGGGTTGTGTGTGTTATGTTTTGTGATCAGCCCCATCTGGTATTTATTGGACAATCAAAAATCCGAACATAGTCAAACGAATAAGTACTCGCTAAATACTCAAATTACTGCAAAGTCAAGCAGCCAATTACTATCGATACTCAAATGATTACATACTCAGATACGCACTCACCAGTTACTTAATTAGAAGTTATAAAACCATTAGAATTAGGTATATACATGATTCAAAATCCAGATCTAAATTTTTCCTTAAGAAATGACTATTTAATTGAATGGAGAAGATGTTCTAGATCAATGGGTAGTTCTGTTAACTCACAGCCACAAACTACTAAATAATTCTGTCAAACTACTGAAACCTTCTGCTCTTTCTCTGTAACCTTAACTACTCTACTTCTAGCTGTTGTCAAGATTGTTACTCCACATCCTTCAGTTTGATACAAGAGATTCAAAAGCAGTAATTTGTCACCAACTACCAGCATGAATTTATTAATATTTCAAACTATTAAATGAACCAATTTTAAAAATCAATTTTAACCCTTGAAACTCTTACTGTACTAAAATGCAGTCACCGACTTATAAATACACGTAACTCAAGTTGCTTAATTCACTTAACTCTACAGTACTACATTAGTGCCTCTACACACTATCCCTTCCCTCAGCACCTGACCATCTTCCGCAACACCTGACCGCATTTCTCTACACCTCGCCCCCTCTTTCCACACCTCGCCCCCTCTTTCCACACCTCACCCCCTCTTTCCACACCTCACCCCCTCTTTCTACACCTCGACCCCTCACTCAGCACCTCGACCCCTCACTCAGCACCTGAACACCCCCCCCCCCTCTCTATCCTTGACCCCTCCTGCAGCATAATGCCCCCCTCTACACCCTGCCAGCTCCTGCCTACAATAATGAGTCGGAGGACAATGTTACATTCTCTGAAAATTGGCCTTTTTGGAAGGTCACTGGAACGAACGATTTCCATCAATACTAGACAGTAACTTTATATTCTTCACGTATAATTGTACTTCGTCACGTTTTCTTATTATATGTCACTATATATATATATCACTATCTTATTATATATATTAGGGAGCCGGTCGGCCGAGCGGACAGCACACTGGACTTGTGATCCTGTGGTCCTGGGTTCGATCCCAGGCGCCGGCGAGAAACAATGGGCAAAGTTTTTCACCCTGTGCCCCTGTTACCTAGCAGTAAAATAGGTACCTGGGTGTTAGTCAGCTGTCACGGGCTGCTTCCTGGGGGTGGAGGCCTGGTCGAGGACCGGGCCGCGGGGACACTAAAGCCCCGAAATCATCTCAAGATAACCTCAAGATAACCACTAGAGATATACCATGGCTGTAGAAATTGTTGTCAGTTTGGGGAACATGGAGTTTAGCTTTAATATCTTGTTGATAATAAAAGGTTTATTGGTCTTCAACAAACTTTCTTTATGGTAGAGGTTGATGTTGAGAGTGCAGTACACGACTTCATCCCACACCCTGGTGATTCTTGGCTTTAGCAACAGTATCTACATATTCAAAACAATAAAAAATGTCAATATGATTGATATCCCTTCAGATGCAGATTACCAGGTCCCTCTGATTGTTGGCTGTTACTACCATTGCATTACTTCTCCACCCATTTAAATCAACTGGTTCTTTGATCAGGTAAACATTTTTTTCAGACAATTTGCTCCTCAGATTTACTCAGAACACAATAACCAATAAGTTCTACATTAAATCCGCATTATCATTTCACAGTTGAGCCCCACACGTAACTAACCTAACACAAATCGATAGGGTATCATTAAATTGTTATTATTTATTTCCCAAACGAACTGAGACTTGCCTTTAATGCGAGTATTTCATAGATATTTTAAAGTGACGCCAAAACTCGTCACAACAGCGAACACAATTCTTCGAAGCCATTTCAAACCCATCATGACAACTTGGTTGAGATGGTGTTGGATGCCCTGGTTCACACTCTTAAATATAAAGACAATCCAATCAGCAGTTCCATTGCCAAATTGAGTTCGGATATACATTGCAAATGTAGCCGCACGTTAACTTGCCCAGTAACTTTCGAGTGTACCTCAAAAGGGCTGTGGATGCTGAGTGCGATTAGCAGAATAAAGTGGAAGCATTGCTAATAATAATCAAGCATATGGAGCATGCTTAAGTCCAACAGCAATATACTAGAGAATTAATTTATGTATAATAGTAATATTGTTATTACTATTATACATAAATGTCCAACTTTCTTTCCCTTTACTCATCATGCCCAGGGATCCACACCATCACCCATGTCATGTCTCTCATGAGAAAGTGTACTCACAATCTGTAACCTCTCAAGAGTTCTGTACATTATTAAACAATATTTACTTCCATTTATGTATTATCATATTTTATACTTGTATGTGCGTGTTAAATACTTCAGTGAGGAAACGCCATATTAGACTGGTGTTTGCAATATTATACTGTTTCTTGCGTAACCTTTCCTCCTCGTGTCTACTTCCCCAGAAGGATAGTATTGTTTACCTGCTGGCAACTGGTCCTTAATAATATATTTTGTGTATGTTTCTGTTGTTTTTAGGATAGGAGCGGACAACATGTTGAACACAGTGTTATGTATAGTGCACCCCCAGCCTGCATGACCAGGCATACACCTGAACACACACATACAAGCATACATACAAAAACAAACACACACGTGGTGAGGAGCCAGTCTCACCATGATGTCAGCTGTCTGCATACATCGCAATAATTGCTGACGTCACATTGTCTGCTTACTGACGTCAGTGTATTCTTATTTTGACAAAAATTATCATTTTTTCCCATAGTCCTTCTACCCTGCAACCCTCTAAAAAAGGAATCTCCTTCCCACCCTCCTATCCCCAAGAATATTGTCTATAGCTGCTGTTTCTAAAAATGTGATATGTATTATTTTTATTTTAATAAAAATACTGGTTCAAGATGTGTATCTTTGTTTAAAGTTTTTGCTTACACTGTACTGGGAAGCTGAGCATCCCAGTGAGTTACCTAGTAAAAACAAAAAAAAAAACAAAAAAAAAAAAAAAAAAAAAAAACAAAAAAAAAAACACCATTGAGTTCATGCTTTCTCTGCATACATTTTTTGACGACCTGATTTGATTTTTTTTCGAAATTGTTCAGTTTCATACGGCAACAATTTGGAAGATATTGTGGAGCTGTTGCTGCTGGAGCTGCTGCTGCTGCTGGAGCTGCTTCTGCTGGAGCTGCTGGAGCTGCTGCTGCTGGAGCTGCTACTGCTGGAACTGCAACTGCTGGAGCTGGAGCTGCTGCTGCTGGAGCTGGAGCTGCTGAAGCTGCTGCTGCTGGAGCGGACTGCTGCTGCTGCTTCTGGAGCTGCTGCTGCTGGAGCTGCTGGAGCTGCTGCTGCTGCTGCTAGAGCTGCTGCTGCTGCTGGAGCTGCTGCTGCTGCTGCTGGAGCTGCTGCTGCTGCTGGAGCTGCTGCTGCTGCTGCTGGAGCTGCTACTGCTGCTGCTGGAGCTGCTGCTGCTGGAGCTGCTACTGCTGGAGCTGCTACTGCTGCTGGAGCTGCTGCTGCTGCTGGAGCTGCTGCTGGAGCTGGAGCTGCTGCTGCTGGAGCTGGAGCTGCTGCTGCTGCTGCTGCTGGAGCTGGAGCTGGAAGAGCTGGAGCTGCTGCTGCTGCTGGAGCTGCTGCTGGAGCTGCTGCTGCTGCTGGAGCTGGAGCTGCTGGAACTGCTGCTGCTGGAGCTGCTGATGGAGCTGCTGCTGCTGGAGCTGCTGCTGCTGCTGCTGGAGCTGCTGCTTCTGCTGCTGCTGGAGCTGCTGCTGGAGCTGCTGCTGCTGCTGCTGGAGCTGCTGCTGGAGCTGCTGCTGCTGCTGCTGGAACTGCTGCTGGAGCTGCTGCTGCTGCTGCTGCTGCTGCTGGAGCTGCTGCTGCTGCTGGAGCTGCTGTTGCTGCTGCTGCTGCTGCTGCTGCTGCTGCTGTTGCTGCTGCTGCTGCTGCTGCTGCTGCTGCTGGAGCTGCTGCTGCTGCTGCTGCTGCTGCTGGAGCTGCTGCTGCTGCTGCTGGAGCTGCTGCTGCTGCTGCTGCTGCTGCTGGAGCTGCTGCTGCTGCTGCTGCTGCTGGAGCTGCTGGAGCTGCTGCTGCTGCTGGAGCTGCTGCTGGAGCTGCTGCTGCTGCTGGAGCTGCTGCTGGAGCTGCTGCTGCTGCTGGAGCTGCTGCTGGAGCTGCTGCTGCTGGAGCTGCTGCTGCTGCTGCTGCTGCTGCTGCTGCTGCTGCTGCTGGAGCTGCTGCTGCTGCTGCTGCTGGAGCTGCTGCTGCTGCTGCTGGAGCTGCTGCTGCTGCTGCTGGAGCTGCTGCTGCTGCTGCTGGAGCTGCTGCTGCTGCTGCTGGAGCTGCTGCTGCTGGAGCTGCTGCTGCTGCTGCTGCTGCTGCTGGAGCTGCTGCTGCTGCTGGAGCTGCTGCTGTTGCTGCTGCTGGAGCTGCTGCTGCTGCTGGAGCTGCTGCTGCTGCTGGAGCTGCTGCTGCTGCTGCTGCTGGAGCTGCTGCTGCTGCTGGAGCTGCTGCTGGAGCTGCTGCTGCTGCTGCCGGAGCTGCTGCTGGAGCTGTTGCTGCTGCTGCTGGAGCTGCTGCTGCTGCTAGAGCTGCTGCTGGAGCTGCTGCTGCTTCTCGATCCGATACCTGAGCCATATTTTGGAGCCAAATTCTGGCTCTCTGCACCTATTCGCAGTTTGAAATTCCTACTTTTTATACCGAAAATATGTCAATTACTGAATGCAGCGGTGGGTCACATTTTGCCCAAACCCCATTGCAGTTTTCAAAATATCCCAAGCATCCCAAATCCAATACCTGAGCCATATTTTGGACCCAAATTCTGGCTCTCTGCACCTATTCGCAGTTTGAAATTCCAACTTTTTATACCGAAAATATGCCAATTACTGAAAGCGGCGGTGGGTCACATTTTGCCCAAACCCCCCTGCAGTTTTCAAGATATCCTAAACATCCCAAATCCGATACCCGAGCCATATTTTGGACCCAAATTCTGGCTCTCTGCACCTATTCGCAGTTTGAAATTCCTACTTTTTATACCGAAAATATGTCAATTACTGAAAATGGCGGTGGGTCACATTTTGCCCAAACCCCCCTGCAGCTTTCAAAATATCCCAAACATCCCAAATCCGATACCTGAGCCATATTTTGGAGCCAAATTCTGGCTCTCTGCACCTATTCGCAGTTTGAAATTCCAACTTTTTATACCGAAAATATGCCAATTACTGAATTACTGAAAGCGGCGGTGGGTCACATTTTGCCCAAACCCCACTGCAGTTTTCAAAATATCCCAAACATCCAAAATCCGATACCTGAGCCATATTTTGGAGCCAAATTCTGGCTCTCTGCACCTATTCGCAGTTTGAAATTCCAACTTTTTATACCGAAAATATGCCAATTACTGAATTACTGAAAGCGGCGATGGGTCACATTTTGCCCAAACCCCACTGCAGTTTTCAAAATATCCCAAACATCCAAAATCCGATACCTGAGCCATATTTTGGAGCCAAATTCTGGCTCTCTGCACCTATTCCCAGTTTGAAATTCCTACTTTTTATACCGAAAATATGCCAATTACTGAACGCGGCAGTGGGTCACATTTTGTCCAAACCCCCCTGCAGTTTTCAAAATATCCCAAACATCCCAAATCCGATACCTGAGCCATATTTTATAGCCAAATTCTGGCTCTCTGCACCTATTCCCAGTTTGAAATTCCTACTTTTTATACCGAAAATATGCCAATTACTGAAAGTGGCGATGGGTCACATTTTGCCCAAACCCCCCTGCAGTTTTCAAAATATCCTAAACATCCCAAATCCGATACCTGAGCCATATTTTGGACCCAAATTCTGGCTCTCTGCACCTATTCGCAGTTTGAAATTACGACTTTTTATACCGAAAATATGCCAATTACTGAAAGTGGCGGTAGGTCACATTTTGCCCAAATCCCACTGCAGTTTTCAAAATATCCCAAACATCCCAAATCCGATACCTGAGCCATATTTTGGAGCCAAATTCTGGCTCTCTGCACCTATTCGCAGTTTGAAATTCCAACTTTTTATACCGAAAATATGCCAATTACTGAACGCGGCAGTGGGTCACATT